TTAAAAGTACGATAGCTATAATGTTGACTTTTAAATGAACCCAACCTTGACCCTAAAAGTTCAGCATGAAATGTAATGAGCTGGATCTCCTGTGCAGAAGGATAATTTACATGAAGTTAATGGTATACCAAAATAAAAGCTCTCCAGTTTGAAGTTAAATGCGTTGCACGAAATAGTTTAATATTTTTTTGATAATGAATAATCAAAAAATGCAAAATATAAAATCTATAAATGCAGAACTTTTTTAAAAGCTCAAAGTTTAACAGTTAAGATTACTCGTTTGATTTAAAATCCACTGTTGTGATTTACAGAAGCAAATTTGTTTTTCTTTCTTTATTTTCATTATTCAAAACGTATGGCCCTAATTGTATGTCATTGACCTAGAACCCAACACACAAAGTAAAAACATATCAAGACCCACAGTGTAAATGTTTTTGAACATGGTAGCAAAAAGACATGTGTTTTAATTCTGCAGATATGATTGGCCTGTCAGGGATGTTTCTTGTGTATGGGCTGACTGCTGTGGCAGCTGCAGTGTTCTTCTACTTCATGCTACCAGAGACAAAAGGGAAGACTCTGGAGGAAATAGACAAGGAGCTGCGTTTAAACAGGTACGATCTGCACTCTATTCACCTGATCAAATACAGAGTCCCGAGTGATGCAATGTGAGGCCTCCACTGTTGTTTTGCAGGTTTTACCACCATCTGGAGTGCTGTGGCTTCATCAGCAGCAGAAATACCTCCCCACAATACCAGAGAGTGCACTGTCAGGTTTGCACATCAGGGTGAACCAAAAAGATAATGAACTGTTTAGGAAGACATCACCTCAAACAGCTGACCTGAAATCTTTAGTCAAAATAAAAATCGACAGTTAGCGTGTGCCTAAGTTCATGAGGGTTGAACATGAATGATATAGGACTTTGTAACATGTCTTTGAGTTTAACTGGGTGACATGAGCTTGTTTTTTTCTTTACCACTGTGAGCTTATTGGATTTCTTTGTTAAGAGAACTTAACAGGTCAACATCTTTCCAGCTCTTGCTTTAGAACAAACAAACAAACAACCTTTGTCACATACACATTCATACAGAGTACAACATGTAGTGAAATGCTTGTGTCCGAGCTGCAGACAGGCTGTAGACATAGCCGCGCCATTCCAGGACTTGGCTTTAGCATTGGGGGGGCTAGCCAGGACCCTTACTGGATACCGGGTGGGGAAAACGAACTTGCGACTCTCACTCCAAAGGTGTCTAGTCTTACCACTATATTATCCAGATGCAGGGGATAGTAGGGATGAGAGGGGACTGTCAAACAAAAGGTTTGCTTGTTTACCTCAAAATATCAACTTTAAGATGTTAAGTCTTCAGAAAATGTGGAGGACGGCAAATTTTTTTGGGCTTTTGTTTTCATAGATTTTACAGCTTGTCCTACTGAATAAATCTTTCATACTACACCAAAATAACTGTTTTCCCACCATCTACAACAGGTGTGTGTGTGTGTGTGTGTGTGTGTGTGTGTGTGGGTGTGTGTGTAAGGGGGGGGGTATATTCTATCACAACTGGGCCTATAAGCGGACCCATCCTTATGGTAGACTTTTTTAATGGAAAAAGGAAAATTAATGGCAGGAAAAACAACTGTGTTCCATCCATGTGAACAGGTTTCAAATTCTTGATATTGTGCAACATCTGAAGAAAAGCATCCACTTCAACTGGACACAAAGATTTGTTTTTTTTTTTTTTTGGTTTTTTTTTGGCCTGTCCCGTTTGGCTCTTTTGCCATCAGAATTGTTGTCTAAAGGCAAA